CAGAATAATAAATAAGTATGTTACTTTAATAATTAAATTTAGAGTTTAAATTTTTTAGTTAACATTTAGAAAAAATTAACTATTGATATTTCAATGGGCCCTTAAGAGTTAAGATTATCAACAAGAAATTAATCTTAAAAATTGTATAAACAACTTAACCTGTAGGCTGTACTTGTCTGTAAGAACAAATGAAAAGAGGTAGAACATGAGTAACTGGACCATAATAAAAGGTAGCTTAAAAAAATGTTATCTTCGTCTTAGTTCAAGGAAAACAATGTATGTATGGAGAAACCCAGAAGTTTCTTGGAAGAATTTAGGAATTTATGTTGACTAGGTAAAGACAGGCTAGATGATATTGATTTCTTTCCCAGAACATGTACAAATGTAGCATGTGGAAGTGGAAGGAGAAAGTCCAGATTTATCAATTATCTTCTGAATTCAAATTCAGTCTTAATTTGGCATTAAGCCATTAACTTTACGCTTTACTCCATTTTAATTAATAAAATGATCATCTGATCCTCCCCTAGCTGAATATGAAGTGCATTTATCCTATAATTTATTTACATCTTACATAAACGTTATATATCAATTATTTGATTATTATCTCTAATTAATTCAAAGAGAATATAAAAATTATATGAGTATAAGTTTGATTAAAATAAAAGTGTCATGTTTTACAATTTAAATTATATTAAATTTTTAAAAAAAAACTATTAAATGAATGAGAAACAGTTTCTATTATCATCTTATTCAACTATTTAAGTTATGCAATACAAATTATAGGACACATTTTTTATTTTTTAATGAGATCATTTCAATAAGTTGATTTATTTGATGTTTTGTGGTCATGTATTGCACTAAAAGATACACTACATATTGTCACCACTTGAGCACCCAACGTATTTATTTATTTTTTGGTAAATCAATAAGTAGGAATCCATAACTAAACTTGGGAGAAACAATTTTTGTATTATTTGGATCTGATTGATTTCGGGTGTGTTGGAGTCTTGGAGACAAATTAAAGTTACTGTAGGCGACAGGGATGAGACAAAGTTTGTAGTCTGATTGATATTAATATTGGACTGGTACAATAATAATAGAATTTATGTAATGTGTGCTTTTAGAATATATGTTAAAGCGTATTCAATATGTATTTTTAATAAATTTTTATAAAAAAATAAAAAAATGTATTATTTTTAATACTAATATTACTTGAATGATTTTAATTAAATAATTGATAAATTTAAAATTAATTTTTATTTTTTATAAAAATTAAATTAAAATTTATAATTAATACTTTTTTAACATGTATCTTTAAAATATAAGTGAGACAAATCTATAATAATATTGCACAGATTCTTTTGATTTGGAAATAATAATAATAATGGGTTGGAAAATTGAAAAATTAGGGTAAAAGTTAAAGGGGGCCAAAGAATGAACTGAGAAGTGGCACTTGGGATGAGCCAACTGTCAAGTAATTAAACGGAAGAAGAAATGAGGAGGAAAAAGAGTCAGTG